AAACCTGCTGTTTGCAAGGCAGCGTCGGCCGAAGGGGCCGCGGGCGGCGCGCCAGCCGAGCGTCCTGGCCCTGAAACTGGGGCGCTCGTACGCGCCTGAGCGTGAATTAGCGTGTGAGAAGGTTTGCAGCGTCTCACGGTAATTTATTCCTCCTGCTTTTGAAAACGGAGGAAGGCCCCGCATCCGGCACCTTGTCTCGTTTAGTTGGGGAGAGTGGCGGCAGGAAAGTCGCTGTCACGCTTCTGCGCCAGAAGTCGGGGCTGAGAAAACGGGAAGGGCGTTTTGTGGCCGTCCCTTGCTTTGAAACGCATCCGCCCGGGGATGAGAGAGTGCATAAACGAGTCAGGTGGTGGCTAGGGCATCGGGAAGCCTTTTTGTGAAGGAGGCAGATGTGTTGGTGCCTCATCTGCCGTTAACTACAAGTGCCTAGTAAAGCAGCTCCTCTGCATGGACAGTGAAAAGAGGTTGCTGGAAGAGAACTGTGTTCTCGGCAGGTGTTTTCAGAAAACGTATCTTGTGACAGTACGACATTCCTCGCTGGCAGACGTTGCTAATAACTTCAGAATGTAACACTGACCTTTCTTCTTCCTTTGTCTGTGTGTCCCTTTATGTTTTGTTTCAGAAACTAGGTGAAAGTGTTCAGCAGCTTCTTCTAGCAAAAATTGCAGTCTACTTGATGACCTTTTTAATAGTCACAGTGGCGTGGGCAGCTCATGTAAGGTAGGAGCACTGGGAGTGTTTAATACCACTACAAAATTAAAGAAAAACTGTTGTTTAAAAGGACAGCAGATAACTGTGTCTGATGCATATCTGTATTGGATTATCTTTTGTAGAGCAGTGTTCATTTTTAATATATCCAAAGCAGTGACTAAACGTACTCTTACGCTACTGAAAGACTGAGATAAAAGAACAAGCGTTGTATCTTTAAAATTGGAGTTACTCTTTGTTTAACTTCATATTCTAGGTGGAGTTATACTTCTATTTGTGCTAAAACAGCATGGCTGCTTAAGTTGTGTGCTGCACAAGGAGGAGGACTCAGACAGCACAGCTCTTCCAAAGTTTCTCTTTCCCCGTCCTCAGCAGTACTCCTTACCAAACTGATGTTGCAGATGCTGTGTTTACATTGTAGAGCTGTGGACACTGCTACCTACCCGTTTCTTAGTTTAAAAGAATTAACATACAGGCATCTTCTGGGGAGGGTAAGGGGAACGAGCGAGTTTGGTCTACTGCCATGGTATGCTGAGGGCTTTTATCCTTAAGAACAAGGAAAGTTGGTCGTGTTTCCATTGCCTTAAAAACCGGTTTTGATTGTGTTCTCATGAAGGCACTGGAAATTACTGTGTTTTCTTTAGCGCTCAGTTAATTGGAGGCGTTCTTGTTTGTCTTTTCCTAATAGCTTGGTTTCCCAGGAATACTCTCAAATATTTACAGTAATTAAACAGCAGTCATTTGTAACCCAATGCAACTGTTTGTTTTTTCAAACTGATACTCTTATCTGTAGTGAACACCTTCCAGTGCTCACAGGTCGGCTGAAATGTTGCAGTGGGTCTTTCTTTTATATATTTTTTTTCAAGTAATATGGCAGACCTCTAAACATTCACAAATCATTGTGTATTAGAAGGCTATGAATGAATAGTGCAGTTTTAAAAGAGGCGTGACCTGAAGAAATGTTAGGTCAAATTATGGCACTGCTGAAATCTTCTACGTTAGGCTAAGAATCAAGTTATTTCTGCAGCTTACTCTCTACAGTATTGGAATCAGGACAGTTTTCACTTGGATTCTGAAATTTACAAATTTTACTATATTTTTTCTTCCTCTTAAGTAAGTGGATTGATCTCACTTTAATAGGGATGTGCAACTTGTGATTTGATACCTGCAACTGATATTTTGCATTACCGTTGCTTTGGTAATGGCTTTGATTACCATTGCTGTTCTTTGTCTGCGTAAGTAAATACTTGAGCATAGTTTTTAAATGTGAACGCTTCCCTGGAGCAGGAACTTCCTTAACTGGTTATGGGGCAGTTTGCAAAAAGAACTTATTTTCTATTTGCAACAATAGCTCTGTTGTACCTTCATGAGAAGGAACGTTAAGCCTTGATGTACTGGAAAGATTCAGGTTCTGAAAGTATAAGCTTGCCTCTGTTCTTCCAAGTCAAATTCAGAGAAAATCAGAAAAATAGCTCTTCACAAAGGTATATAAGACAGAGAAAAATCAGAGATTCTGGATGCTCCCTGAACATCTGAATCTGTTCTAGAAAATCTGTGCAATGCTGTTGCAGAGCTCAGCTCCCCGCACAACATAGCTTAGTCTGAGAAGCTAAAAGTCAGTCTGACGCCTACATTTTTATTTTGGGATGTGAATGTCAAATAGACACGTTCAGATGTTTGTGTGAGAAGCAAACAGTGTCCACTGGTGAAAGTCTGCCTTCGTTCATGCTTCAGCAATATTTGCATGAGCAATGAGCATAGGCTGAGTGTCTCCAGTTAGTTCTCAACCTCGCCTGTATTTGTCAGTAGTTGGTTAACACCTAATAATAGTTGTCCTGTAGATCCTGAGCCTTATGCAGTGCACTAACAGTTTCCTGGCAGTCCTGTGCCACGCGTGCACCAGACGATGGAAGATAGCTGTTCCGGAGCAAAACTGCTGCGGCAGAAAGGAACCCAGTAGCCTGCTCTGTGGCTTGGATGTGTTTCATCCTGTAAATGAAGGGGCAAGTCCTAAGGAAAGTTGCCATCGGTTCCTACCTGTGAATCACGCTCACAGCTCCCATTTTTCAAGGCATAACGTCCATTTGTAGCTCTCAGCGTTGTTAGGGTTTTGGAATGCGACTCGGTGGGTCGGGGCTGACATCTGAATCCCTTTTTCACAGGTAAATTCGCTCTTCATTAACAGTGAAATCGACGGATCAGCAGAGGATACAATTTCAGGTGCAGATATAGGATGGAGAGGAGGGGAAAAAAAAAAGAAAAAAGCCAATTTGATAAATATTATTCTGCTTATCCTTCTAATTGAAATGAGGTTTTTCTTAACTCCTCTGTGGTTGAACTCGATTGAAAAAATTTGAAAAGCTAGATAAGAACAAACTAATGAATGACTTCCATGTGCACAACCTAGGCTTGCTCGTATAAATCATGGAGCAAATGAAATGAGGTTCCCCTACAATGTCATCGATGTACAATTCGTTGACAGCGTTATCACGCGTATTTTGGGGAGCTGGCTTGTTCATGGTGTTTTGCCTTACCTTGGCAGGCTGTTTCAGGTGATAGAGCTCATAGATGATGTCCTCGCTCTTCTAAATCTGGTGAGTCTTGTTAGAATACTTGATATTTTACTAGCTAGCAAAGGTAATATTGTCACATGTTTGTATCTAGATGTCAGAGAGCTCCTAGTTTAGATAGTGTAAGTCTGCCAAATTTTCAAGCCAGGAAGATGCAGAGTTTGAATTCCTCCTTGCCAAAGTGGCAGATTGATACCTAACTTGCTGTTAGCAGGCACATGTTTAATCGTAAGGCAAAAGAAGCTCTGCACCAGGTTAGCCTGAAGCTCCTCTGAGTGAGCTAAGGAGTCTTCTCTGGAGAAAACTGTTGACTTTAATGATCTGTATGGCAACTGTCCTCCAGGCTTAAGAAAATGAAGCGCTGTGTCTTTTGAGGGAAAAATCGTAATGGTGGGTCTGAATTACAGCCGTGATCTCAGGTATCTTTCTATTTAAATTCCTCAGAAATTCATTCTCCAGTATATTTGGAAGATAGGATTATATAATGTTTCCAAAACCACCTACTACTGAGGCACCAATAGTGTCTTCGGATCATTTTTTTGAGCTTTACTCTGCCCTAAAATTTATTTGTTAAAAAAAAAATCTTCATTTATTTTAGAGCGTGTTTTCTTTAATGAGCCACGCTGTAATATTTTGGTTACTGATAGTTGGAATGGGATGCTGCAATGGTGAACGTAATCCGGTTTTCATCTAGAGCTTTTATCTTACTGTGTTGTTTAAAATTCTACTCCTTGACAGTGTCCATACATACAGTTCATTTAATTGTTGTTAATAAAAATACTGGGTTTAAATTCTGTGAGGTAATGCTGCAAGAAATTGTGTGAGAGGAATTGCTTAAGGCATGTCGTTCTTTTATAATGTAGCTTTCAAACCAATGCATTTTTGTGTTCTTGAGTTTTTGGTTTTTTTTAGTTTCTTCTCCTATGTTCTCAAATGTGTGCAATATTTGAACTCATAAATTAATGCTTTTCGCAGGTGAAAATCAGAAGCATTTGCTTAGGAGGAAAAATAGCAAGGTGTGCTACTCTTTTCATTGCTACTTTAGAAGAAGTCTGTTAAGAAACATAAGCAAAACATTTATTTGAGTTAGTGGTAACAAAACTTTAGCAGTTTCTAAAATCAGCCTGTATAATTTGGATAACAAATCTGGAAGGTGAGTATTGGAGCTCTAAGAAACAAAAATGGTAACTCAGGACTAGCCGTTTGTTGCAGAGGTAGCTCATCTACTTCTGGTAATCTTTTTTTCTTGAGGCAGCACAAGTATTAAAATGGTTTGTGCTGCATTTTCTAGACAAATCTTGAATGACTGGATTGCTGGGTTGTATTTTAGCTAATGTTTCGGTATGCTTTTCTTTTTTCAGGCTTGTATGATGATCATAACTTTTTTGCCATACACAGTAAGTACTTTTCTAATATTTTGACTTATGTGTAAATTGCATGGTTTTTCTTTCTTTATCTGGAAAGACTTTACCCCAAGTATTCAGGAACTCAGGAAAGCGTTATTACAGTATAATCCCTGAATCGATTGCAGCAGTGAAGCCGTAATTTTTTAAAACGCCTGAGAACATGGTATATAGTCTTGAACTGCTGCATGCTATAGACCTGCTAGAAAATGGATGTTCTAGAAGAAAGGCGGCAGTAATGGGAAGTCATGGCTTCTTGGAATTTTTCAAACGTGTCTAACTTGACTGATTAGAATTTTGCATTTTGTAAGGGAAATAACAGTTACAAACTCTTCCTTAGACAGCACGGTATTTTCTCTTTGTCATCTAAACGGTTCTTAATACCACTTTTGACTGCAATGTTGCTTCTGGCACAGCCAGTCTCTCAGTTGTTAAATCTGTAAATTTGATGTCAGATACCCTTTCGACTTAGGAGGAGTATCTACAGCGGAACACTGCATTAGCCAAACAGAGCTGTTGCTTAACATGTTGATTGACTTTCATGGTATGAATAGAAAAAATTGTATGAAAGGAACCTGTTTCACTATAGATTTTGCATATACTTTATAATATATAAATTAATCTGCAAACAGTAGGGCTATGGTCAGTAAAAGGGTCTTTATGAGCAAGAGCACACACTTTTCCCTTTGTCTTCAAGCAGAAATAATTTTAGAAAGTTGTCAGCGTTACCCTGGCAAGTCTCCCTGCTATTTTTTTCCCTAATGAAGCTGAAAATTAGCACAACAGGAAGTCGTGGAGGTAGAGAACTTAAAAGATTCAAAAAAGTTCTCCCAGTGTCAAGAATATTCACAGTTATGAACATTTTGTCCCCTGAAAGCACTATCAAAATTACGTTTTGACTACGTGCTAGCCGGTAGTTATAACAAAAACATAACATCTGGAAGGTTGTGCTTTGAGCCCATCTCTCTTCTCTTATTCAGAAGCTTCTGCAGTATCAACGCGTGAGCAGAGCTCACCCAGCCTCTCCAGAGGCCTTCAGTTGGAATGCCAGCATGTGTATGCGGCTAGAAACTTCGTTTAGTAGAGTTTTGTTGAAAAGCAAATTATTATTTAAGTTTTTGAGTTTCAATATTGAATAGAAAATACTTCATCTTCTCTACTGTTATTCCTATATTGTTTCTTAATTGAATGTTTAATCTGGCTGCATTTTTCCTTCTAGTTTTCTTTAATGGCCTCCTTTCCAGATGTGCCTTTTGGCATTTTCCTGTTTAGTATCTGTGCTGTTGTCATTGGCCTTATCCAGGTATTGGAGCTATCCATTTACATTTTGTTTTTTCAAGACTAGATTTTCTTGGGTAGGACTAAAATTAGGTTTATTAACTATTGATATAAAATGCTAGATGTCATTTTTGTTTGTACGGCATTGTTTTTCAAGGCTGTGCCTGCTGTGATAACGTAGTGCCCATGTATAAGAAGAATGGTTGTATTGCCGCTGTCCTCTGAACCTGATTTATGTAACTAGATCAGCTGATCTGAATGTCCATTGAGTTGTGACTCCTTCCCTGCTCGATAAAAATGCACTGGGAAAATAGAAATTGGTGTACTGCATTGATCTTTCCTGCTATGGCTCTTGTTGAGCTGCCCAGCATAGGCCGAGTGAGTCAATGAGCATGGCCATTCCGCTGTAGTTGTAAGCACTTACCAAATGGCACAGTTTTTCCTCTTGGGGCAGTGCCTTGTTCCTTGCTGTTTCTTACTGTGGAGGTCTTTCTTGGTCTTCATTGTAAGAACCAGGGTCATGACAAGCCCTAGAGGGCAAATTAAGGTCCTCACGTGTAATATACTGCGAAATCCTGGAGTTTCTAAGGCCAGCCCCCCATGTGGAAGGGAAGAATAAGCTTCAGCATGTTGGAATTTGGTGTTTTAAAATTTCAGTTTTATAGTTGAAATGCTATGTATACTAGTACCTAACAATTTCAGTAATGCTCTTCTCTTTGCAGGCAGTGATAGTAGCATATGGATTCTATCACCCACACCTACTAAATCAACAGATACAAGTGTCTGAAAACCAGAACTTCTATAAACATCACATCTTAAAGATTATTCTAAGAGGACCGGTTTTATGCTTTTTAGCAGCCATCTTTTCTTTTTTCTTTATCCCTTTGGTAAGTTCTTTGACTAATTCTTCTTTTAAAATGATCAGTTAACCTAAAAATTGGACACACCAGTTTGTTTTAGCTGTATTTAGGACTAAGCATTAAAAAATTATTCCTATGCTAAATGTGCAGAATTTTTCTGTTGCCAGTTCTGTAGTGATGTGACCACGGCCACTATTCTGTGATGAAGGTGTTTGGTTCACAGGGAGCCACCTATAATGTAATCTATGGAATTGGATAGGTTATGAAACTCCTGCCGTCAGGAGTGTTTGCTTCATTTGCTCTGCATGGCTTTTTTTGTCTCTCTTTTTTTTGTTTTTGTTTTTGTAAATACATTTCCTAGTCTTCAAAAGCAGATCGTTTAAACTGTAAGTCCGCTGCTTGCTCGTAAGAGGTAGTTGAAATAACGTGGAAAATTTCCTGAGTTGAATATCACTTGCCTAAAAACTAAAGGCAAGTGAAAATAATTGATGCACCAAGTCAGGGTGTTACAGCAAATAGAATAAGTAGATCAGATGTCCAGCTTGCATCCAAAACCAATGTTTTTGGCTAAGTTCTGTTCTTACACAGCATTTTCCTCCCCCTGCTTTATTAAATGGTAATGAGTTGCTCCTGCTGAGTTGTGAATAGCTTTCACGTTCTTCAAAACTGCCACTTGGAACTGAAAGCTAGTTTGTGGATGTATCCTGAGTCTCCCTGCCTCTGTCTCATTCTTCAGGCATAGATGTGTCTGAGAAACGTTGCATGGGAATTATCAGTGTCTAAATAATCCCCGCGTTTGGGAGGAATCACATTGATACTGATTGAGTGACACGGAATGATGAAGTCCAAATAGGAAAATGCCTGATTTTAATTGAAAACATATATTTTTTTTTCTTCTTCTGTGACTTGCATCCTTACTTCCTTCTGTTCCCTCACCTTGTTCCCCAGTGTAATTTCTTGTATATCAATAACAGTCAAATTACTCTCCAGGTTGGTCTTGTGTAAATAGCTTATGGTCTGCCGCACTCTGTCTTCGGGACAGGAGTAGTATGCGGACCAGGCAGCATGTTTTATTTCTCTCCTAAGGACAGCTGGCACGAAAGGACATAGAAGCAGTTACATGCTTTAAAAACAAGCTCAGGAGACAGGCACTGTTAAAACGTTTTCTTCTGTGGTGAACCTGTGGAGATGTTCTCACATTTCAGAGAGGAGGGATTTTTTTGTAGTAAGAGCGCCTCACAGAGACAATGAACAGAACTTTGGTGAAGTCAGCTGCTATAAGGGAACCAGAAGAGAATCGTGCAATTTTATGAAGTTTGTAGAGAACAGTGGTCAAAAGCAGCAGGGTACTCTCTCCTTGGCATTGTCCTTCACAGGTGTTTCTCTGGCCCTAGCCTAAGAAACCCTTGAACCCTTTTATCTCCCTCTCCCCTCCATCTGTCACCTTATTCCAGTTTAGCTTTTTGTGCAGTGTGCTGAAATTGTAAAAGCAATTCAAACAAAGAAAGCAATTTTTTACAGTTTTTTTTAAGCCGTGGCCATTGCCATTGCTACACGGTTATCCAGAAAGCTTTGCCAGCACAGTGCAGGGCTGCCTAGACAATTTGTTTGGTAAACAGGATATTTCAGGCTGAATGGTGAGTCACAAGTAACATCAGAAACATGGGATAGTTCCCCAACTTCCAAAGAAATGATTGCTACATTTTTATTAACAGGATTAATTCCCTTCCTGTTTAAGCTTGTCTCGTTGCTGATTCTAAACCACGTATTGAGGTTCTGAACTAGGTATGAGGTGGCACCCGTAATATTCAGGAGGCAAATGAGCTCTTTCCTTCAGTTGAAGTGCTCAGGTTTGTTTTGTAGAGTTGCATGTGCATTCAGTTGTTGCCCATTCACTCGCTGTCCAGAAAACTGCTGTGTTTCAGACGAACCTCTTCCATGTCATAAAGTCAAGATTTGTTTTTCTTTCATGTGATTACACCTACAGATTGAGAGTAATCATTTAATATTAAACTTGGAAGCCAATTTATGTTTCGGTAACTAACCTAAGACTGTCTTTATTCCTCTCCATAGTCTTATGTACTGCTTGGGCTTGTTATCGTTTTTCCACACCTCACTCGCTTCATTACGTGGTGTAAAACCAAGATTGTTGGTGAGTAACGGTATTCATAAGGAGTGTATTCAGATACATTACAAGTTGTCAACTTGTTATCCAAACAACATAGTATTAAGTAAATTTTTTTCTACTCCCGTTTTCATTGTTGGTATTCAGAACATACTGATCTGGGGTTTTATTGCTGTGCTTCCTGAACTGTTTCCCCCTCCCTCCCCGTTTTCCTTTATTTGATACTTGATCTGTGTTGTTGGGTTTTTTCCCTGCTTTTTCCTTAATTTGCTACTTGATCTGTGTAAGGCACACGTTACAAGATAGCTTCTGAAAGCAGAAACTCTCTGATTTGTCCTGAATATACATACACACGCCTCCATGCGTGCGTGATGGCTGCAGGCTACCTGTTCTTCTTCCCCATTAAAAAGGTTACATGAGGACTGAAGAATACAGGAAGCTGTCTGCCTGAATCACTTTCTTCCCAGCGATACTGTGCGTTCCCACGTTCTCAAACTGATAATCAACAATCTGAGAGTATGTAACAAGTAGTAGTAGTATAAGCCAAGCAGTTCTAAGGTAGCGAGTTGTTTAGCGTGTTACCTTTGGTTAATGTAACTACTGTGCTCGAAAGACGTGACTTCACACATTTAATCAATGTAAATCCATGCTGCGTGCCATCGTGCTCCTTGCTTTATTGTCTTTTCACCTCCCTTGTATCTGCACTAACAATTGCACAACCACAGCAGCAGCTCATTAACTCTACCAGAAAGGAGGTTGCTAGGGCTAAAACAAAGGAGAAAGTGGCATCATGAAGCCACTGAGCCAAAAGCAGGACTTCCTCACTTTGGCAGCAACATAAACTGGCCACAAAACCACACCCAAGAGATCATGTTGTTGGAATTATCACCCCGTAGGTGAGGCAGCAGAAAAACCACGTTTGAGTTTGTGTCTGCTGCTCCTGATCAGCCTAGTGTAACTCTATCTGTATTTACTGCAAGTACATACTTTCGGCTCTGCCATGGGGCAGTAGCACCTGATGGGGAGGCGGAAGTGCTTTAAAACAGCTGAAAGCAGATTCTCAGAGCCAGAGACTAAACACATACCACTATTGCCAGTGTCTACTGAAACAGGTCACTGCTGTGTACCTCTCACCCTGTCAGATAGCTTACACTTAGTACTGCAGAGAAAAAGAAAATGTCGTCTTGGTCCTGTCTGCCTGGAGCAGAGATCTTTACTGTTTGTTTTTTGTAGTGTAAGTCAGTGTGCTAATAACTGAGAGGTGATTACACTTGCTTTTTCTTTCGGTTACTCTCTTTACTTGCTCAGGAGCCTGTAAATCTTTTTCCTTCAATTTGCATATACTCCCTGAGTGGTGCAGCATGGCTAGCAAAGCCTAGCCTTCAGGGATGAGTTTGACATCTCCCTTTAAAAGCTCCAACGCCCCATCTTCTGACCAAAGACTGGATTTATTTTAAAGCAGGTGATTTGATTCCCCCAGTGCTGCCCAGCTCCAGTGAGTTGTTCCCCCTCCCCCCCCCACCACCATGTAGTTCTCCACACTGACTAGATGTTGTACAACGCCTCAGGAAGCCCTGTTTTGCTTAGCTTAAATATTGTGCTTAATTACAGCTTTGAGTCACTATTCACTTGGTAGAAACAGTCTGCCATGTACTTTAATGGACAGTTTCTTGTTCTTGAAGCACTTGTCCCAGGAAGCAACGTGAACCTCGGGGAGAAGCACAGCTGCAGAAGGAAATAGCGACTGACCTGTGTAAATAAAAAAAGAAAGATCTGGGCAGGTGGGGAGAAAGAGAAGGGATGATGACAGTTTTTTTTTTAACTTAGTTATCTTGTTTTATACTTCCTGATTTTGTCTTTTATTAGTAAATATCTGGATTTGTTTTCCAGGTCAGAGAGATGAAGAGGAACACGGTAGCTTAGAGACCTTCACGTTTTACCTCAGTGAGCCTCTGAGTAAGGAACGAGTAGAGGCATTCAGTGATGGAGTCTATGCTATTGTAGCAACGCTGCTTATTTTGGATATATGGTAAGACTTGGTGCTGGCTCTCACACTTTGTGTTGCTAAGTACAATATTAAGTTGTGTCTATACGTAATTTTTGAGAAATAAAACTAAACAAGCGTTTTCTTCGACTTCTAAAAAGCTTACAGAGCGTGAACAAGAGTCTTCTAACACGCACATTTCAGCAGTAGCGATCATCAGTCTCCTTAGTGTATGTTGGGGTGGGGTGATGTACTTGGAGGTCTGGAAGAACGAAGCTTGCTTTATGCTTTACGTTTCCAAATAAAAGGCACGTATCAATAAAAGATGTTTAGTCCTACTGGCGGCTCTATTACCTTAGCTGAAAAGAAAGAAAAATTACTTTTAGATTTTCTTTCAGATCCAATTTATATGCAGAGGTTTTTTTGAAATACTTTTTAACTTACCAATTAGAGAAGTACAAATAAAGTGGGTGCCTGTTCATTCGTACTTGTTCAGAGTAAAACAGCGTAGTTCAGTGCTGCTCGAGGCCTGTTTTTATACTATTAACATGAAAAGTAAAGTAATTTTTCTCTCCGCAGTGAAGACAATGTTCCTGATCCCAGAGAAGTTGAGGAAAAGTTCCATGGCAGCCTCCTTGAAGCTTTAAGTGAATATGGACCGAACTACCTTGCCTACTTTGGCTCTTTTGTAACAATTGGTCTTCTCTGGTTTGTCCACCACTCCCTCTTCCTTTATGTAACAAAGGCGACCCGATTAATGGGACTGCTCAACATACTTTCCTTGGCTTTCATTGGAGGGCTCCCGCTGGCTTATCAGCTAACCAGTGAATTTGCAGAGAAGTCTCACAATGAAATAGAAGCCATTCAGGTCAGCTGTGTTATCACTTTCTTTGCTAGCATATTTCAGTTTGCAATATGGACTACGGCCCTTCTCCATGAAAGGGAAACTTTGCATCCTTTTGCTAGATATGGTGGCAAGGAGCATGCCTTCATGTTTGCCAAGCTTGCTCTCTATCCTTGCGTGAGCCTTGGGGCCTTCTTTCTAACATGCTTGTTAAGTGAATTTAGCACAGAGATTTTCCATCTTATGCAGATTGTAATCCCGTTTGCTTTTCTTGCCTTGCGCATTTTTGTTAGGATTTCTTTAACTGTCATAAAGTCTGTGATGTCTCTCTCCAGACGGAAGGTTGTGTTGCTAGAAGAAGAGGAAGCATGTTTGTCTCCTAGTGAAACGCTGTCTTAAATTTCCATGGACCGCACGTGAAATTGTAACGTTACTTTCATTCTAACTCACATTGAATTAATGTATGGATTATATTGATCTAAACTAAAGCTTGTGTTGACCATAACTGGGGCATAGTTAGGTTCAGTAATGCTTTTAAGACCCTTTCTCCAAAACACGTAATTGAAAAAAGTTGGGTTAGCAGGAGAGACAAAGAAAAGCATGTTCTCCTTTGTTTAAAACTGCCCCTTTGGAAAAAAATGCTGCTTGAAGTGATAACTGCAGTGATAACTCACTTCAGAGGCGCACAGACAGATGCTCAGCAAGATGCCCTTTCTCTGACATTGTGGCGGCCAAACACAGGTATAGGTAGAAGATGATTATGCTGCTATATGAAGAGCGAGTGAGGTCTGGAAGACATGAAGGATACCTCTGAATTTTTGGAGGGTGAATCGGTAAAACGTTTATGCATACAGACTGTGGGATTTTTGTTTGTTTTGTTGAGACACTGTCTCTTCTGCAAAGCCACAGAGTTGTGATAGCATTTCAAAAGGTGCTTGCTTTTGAATGACTCAGAGCATGAGTTTAGGTGGGAGTTGCGATTGTGACCGACATGCAGTCTTCCAGGCTGCCTTAACACAAATTCTTCTTCAGTCATATTTCATTTTTCTAAAAAGGATGTATTTAACAAATGAGACCCAAGGTTTGAACCAGCTTTGTAATCTCCCAGGGGAAAAACTTGAAGAACTGTGGGACCACAGGTAAATTTGTTTTCAGCTGTGAAACACACTGCCCCATTAAAAAGGAAGATTGGGATTTCTCAGGGTTTTTGTGTTTAGGAACCTCCTTGAAAAAGGTCTGTCTGTCAGCTTGAAGACATGATTTAGGAGTCATAGAGGTTATGAGACTTTCCTGCCACCTATGAAAATTCCCCCTCAGGCCCGGGAGTTGAGTCTGTCCCTATGTAGAGTCTAGCTAAGGAGTTAATACAATGAACTCCTACGCATCTTTGAGTTTCAGTAAGAGGGCCGAAAGAACTAATCCAGTAGGAGTTCTAGTCCCTGGGATGTTCGGTTTTTTTAGGCCAATGTGCAGCTGCTCCAACTTTTCCTTGCATAGAGCTGTACAGATGGGAGTATGCACAGTCATTTGGGCTCTGGTTCCCTAGAAGGTTATACGTCTCTTTTGGGCAGAGCCATTAGTTTGTATCTTGAACTGTCTTAGTGCCTGATAACTTTTCTGCCATGTTCAAAGGTATTTGAGGGATTTTGTTTTTCCTCTGAAAAAATACTGTAGCAAAGAACAGCTGGAATAACTGTTAGTGAAAGCAAAAAAAAGGTTTGTTTCACTCTAGATCAGTCTGATCAGCACTTTTGATTTGAAGGTTTACCAACACGGAATGTTTAGTATTATGTACTTCATGGAAGGGATTGTCTTCAGATACTCTAGGGGTTTTATACCTGGTTGATGCTGAAGGGCCTGCAGTGGGGTTGTTTACTGTGTTGTGTATTGCTGGGTTCTTGTGATATTCAATAAAAGCACTTTTGGCTCTATACGGTTTTGTTTAATGTGAATAAACAGTGAATATGTGTATTTGTAATAAATAAAAATCAGTACAATAAAAAAATGAAAGCCTCCAGCTCTTAAATTTGATCTGCGTAGTGGAAACAAAACCTGATATTTACAATTAAAATAATGTTAAATGTTAAAATAACGTTGGAAATCTGCTTTCCATGAAAAAAATAAATACTGTTCCTTCTCAAGACTGAGGCTTAATTAAACTGAGCACAGAATAGTGATTTGCTTCAGACAAAACATGAAGATGCATTTCTTAGAAGAGGAATGACCAAACCGTCTCCGTTCTCATTCTAGTAGCTTTTGTCGTAACAATTAGGAGAATTAATGCCAAATATTCACCGTGTGCTAGCAAGCTGTTTGGAAGTGTATGGGGATCTGAGGCTTAGGTCTGAGTAGGTAAAAGATCTGTGGTAAGTATTGCTTTGATACCCAGATCATGAAAGCAACATTGAAACATAAAAATATTTTTAATGTAGTGCACAGAAATGTCAGTATTTTTATCGGATGTACTTAAAGAAAATGGGACCTGAAATGGAACCTGACTAAGGCGTTTGGTTCCAACGCTTGGAGGGATGCTCTTAGGAGCAGTGAACTGGGCTGTACAAATACAAGTGATTGTGTTGGCTACGTAACAGATCTTCCTTTCTTTCTTTCTTCTTTCTTTCCACTTGCGAGGGAATTATGCCTTCTGCACAAAGAATGGTTTTATATGTAATCAAGGTAACATTATTCTAACAAATTTAGTAATATTTCAGAACCTAAATTTGAGGCCAAACTTGACCTGAGAGCTCATATAGAGAAGAGGATCGTTGGTATATATAGTTGGTATTCTGACAGACCGTTCTTGTAAGTTCTAAGGAAACAAACTGCATTTCAGAATGAGGCATCAATAATTGTGTGATTGTCAAGCAGACAGAACATTTCAAAATTTAATTGTTAAGTGGTTGTTCTCTACAGAATTACCATTACCAGTGACCACAGCTTTTTGCCCCTCGAAAAATTAGTCTTTTCTAATGACTGTAATAATCACAGAATAGCTGATGTTGGAAGGGGCCTCTGGATATCACTAGTCCAAGCCCTGCTTAAGCAGGGTCAGCTAGAGCAGCTTGCTTAGGACCCTGTCCAGACAGGTTTTCAGTATCTCCAAGGACGGAGACTCCCCAGCCTCTCTGGGCAACCTGTTCAAGTGCTTGACCACCGTTACGGTAGAGAGTGGGTTTTTTTTTTTTTTCTTCATGTGTTTGAACGCAATTTCCTGTGTTTCAGTTTGTGCCCATTGCCTCTTGTCACAGCACCACTGAGAAGAGTCTGGCTCTATCTTCTATGCTTCCTCCCATCAAATATTTATACACACTGCTAAGATCTCCGGTCTTCTCTGCTCCAGGCTGAAGAGTCCCAGCTCTCTCAGCCTCTCCTTGCGTGACAGATGTTCCAGGCCCTTTTATCATCTGCATGGCCCTTCGCTGGACTCAGTCCGGTATGTCTGTATCCTTTTACTGGGAACCACAGAACTAGGCACAGCACCCTAGCTGTCTCACCAACTACCTTCCTCGGCATGCTGACGACACTTTTCCTAATGCAGCCCAGGATACTATTCTTTGCCATAATATTTTTTAAATAAAATCTCCTTATAGTGAAGAAGTTAAATTGCAGTAAAACTCCCCTTTTACTTAAATTGAAATCTCTGTCTGTGACGATATTGGTACTGTCAGTGAAGAACAACTACCTCAAAAGCTGAATAAATCAAGCTGGACAAAACATAAAGCATGGGAAGATATTGGAAAAGGCCATTGTCTCTCAGTACAGTTGTGATTCTGTAAAGACGACTGTTCTGTTTGTTCAAACGTGTTGGCCTTGTCACTGGATTCACGTTCAAGAGCTTTAAAAGATGCTAACAGCCACTAACAGGATGAACTTTGTCTCTTCCTTCCATAACAAATGAAGTAAGCGCCAGCTGAAAAATTGTTAGTGACTACTAAAAGAGGGAGTTCCTGCCTGCAGCCTTCGAGACAATGAGTGGACGTAGCTATTCAAATTTCTTGAAAAGAGCAACAGCCACAGCAGCAGTTCTTTGAAGAGAGAGGATTTGTGTTTAGTGTATTATAAATGGTCATGACTTTTTCCACTTTATTTGAACACACCCAAGTTACTGCAAATAACTCTTTTGCAGATTATCAGGAAGTAGTTTTTTTACAACTGACTCAACCTGCCGTCCAAGTTTAGAGCAGACCGTGAAAGCTATTGTTTGGCATTTGATAAAACTATGGGCAGCTCTTGCAACTGGATTTTTCAGTTAAATTCAAGACAGATGCAGGAATTCTGTACTGGCTCAGTTTGATTCTTCGCTGTGAGGGTACTCAGTGGGAGTTTACAAATATGATGGTGTAGCATAACAACGTGTAGCCCAAGTTGCCTGCTGCATCGATAGGGGAAGAGTGGAACATCTGTTTTGTCTGTGTATCATCAAAAGAAATGAAGAATAACGGTGACTTTTTTCCCTCAGAGCTTTGCTTTAGTGCTGTTTAAAAATCCAGCACAGAGATGTCTGTCAATTGCTGAAAATCATTCAAAAAATAGAGCATTTAATTGCTTGAAATAGATCGAGCCCCACCAGTTAGTAACTCAATACAGCCTTTCTGTAAAGTCTCTAAAAAGGAGGTGGTGCTAGTTCATAAAGCCTCGCTGTTAGCTTAAAGACATACTCCTTTTTTAGAAAGATGTAAAATTTGCTTTTTTTCTCACCCTGTCTTAGAAGTTCAACATATGAGACGTCTTACAAAGCTCATTTTTACAAAGTAATTTGCATTTAATGCCAACATCCATGTGAGTGACACCACCATGTACAAACGTCTTCAGCACTGAATTTGTCGGCCTGTGGCATCAAAAGGCCTTTCAGCCTGGTGGAACAGAGAAACGGCTAATTAGATGACTGAGTCAAGTTAGCTGTATTTCAAAGTAAGTGATGTCGTAATTGAAGAACATCACACTTTGCAGTCTTTTCTTTGTAGCTGGAAGTTAAGAAAACACTTCTAGCTGCCTAATATGTGATGTAATTTAAGTTGTACTGGTAGGGTAACATCTGGATGAACACCAGACTGGGTTTTAGTTCTGCAAATAGACACTAACATCAGAGACTATTCTCTTTGCAGATCAGCATGAAACTTAGTAACTGCTGCTGCTTTGCATTTGTGAGATTTGTAACATTTAATTAAAATTCTGCTGGTTCAGAGTGTTTAATGATCTTAAAACTTTTGTCCAGAAATCCGCTGGACAGAAGTGGCTGAATAGTTTGTTACTGACTTGGCATTGAGCTTTCTGCTGAACGGCTATGGTATTAAAACTTAAATTCTGGTATTTGGAACAAAAGTGATCCACACAGCAACGAGCTCTCATCTGTAATTCTCCTGGTGTGTCTCAGAGTTGTTGCTCCAGAAAGGAATCCTAAAAACAAATGTACTAAAGAGAAAAAGTGAGAAGATACACACGTTCCATCCCTGCATGAAAGCTGTCTCAGGTCTTACTGATATAGCGCATACAACAATGACATTAGAAAACTTCATTTACTTCTGCAAATGAATGGAATACTAATACTCTTCTAACAGGTTCCCCTAAGAGAAAAGCTCTTCAGACCTCTGAAAGTGAAAGATTTCAATTACACACGGCTTGATTAGCAGCAAATAGCACAGGCAGTTAGCTTCCAGGGAGTTTAAGAAGCATATCCTTACCCTTTGACTGTGTATATCTTAACTATAGGCAGGGATTTGAAAATGATAACACTAACGAGCAGTGGGCTAAAATACAGATACCTTAATTTTACAAGAATATGAAACATGACGCAGAATACTTAGTTGCCTCCCATATAACCAAATCATGTTATTAAGGTTCAAAAAACAAACACAGACTTACACTTACTAGTCTTTGTTAATGTGTTCTTTGCCCTCAGGATCAAGCATTTTAAATGCAGTTAATAAAGTTTCTTTGGGACTCAGTACCTGCAGAAAGCACTATGTCAGTCAGCATGGCTCAGCTGATAGCTAGATAGCTGGTCTGTTTGGGCTAGAAGCCTGCCAGTTCAAGTCTTTAAGAACACAGTCATGCAAACGGCTAAGATGTTTCAGTCCACTGCTCGCAATTCTGCCTCTGCGCTACAGCATGGGAGGACAAAAACATTAACGGTTCCAAATGTCATTTCCTTAGATTACAAGATGTTTTCAAGAGGAAGTAAAAATACTGAGTCCTTAGCTTTTAAAAACAGGCTGGGGGATGGGGACTTGTAGTCTACTGGTCTATTTTCTGTAACAGATGAACACAATTTATTTTGCAATATGATGGCTTCTTACTGCTGAAGGAAATGTGATCAAATACTGCAACATGGTGCTGGATGGCCAAAGCATTTTTCTAAGGCATGGTTAAAAACTCTAGTCACGAAGTAGGTTTGGGGTTTTTTGGATTCGTTCATGTCATCCTACTCTAAAAATGTGTTACTAATGTAAAATGCTTAATAAAACTGGAACAAGACAGTTTCCAGAAGGCAGCAGACGAGACTTGTCAATGTTACTTATGAATTAGTCTGCATCCCAAATTTAGGATCTTTCAGACCATTTCTTTCTGTTTTTAAAAGACTAGTGTTTCTGATATGAAAGTTACAGCCCACTTGTTGCCCACTTGTGCAACAGCAAGAAAACCCTCTTTACTGGAAAGTCCATGTAACTAGAAAAAAATAGTTATAATATTTTGGAAGAAGGGAGCATGGAAAACTCTTAATTTTAGTGGTAAAATCTCCCTAACTCCTAAAAGTAGCTTTTCCTTTTTTTATAACACATGTTTACTTGCACATGCTGGCTTTTCTAGCATTAGAATTGGCTCTATTCCTGATTCCCAGAGCCTGTGTTACAATTTGATTGCATACCTGCATCAAATACCTGCATACCTTCCTTAAGCATGCAATAGGAATTATTTACATCACGTGAAGGCCTTTGTGTGAAGAACACAAGCAATTAAATTAACTGTATCAATGTTTCAAAATAAACAATGGTAACAGCGCTGTCTTTAAGCACATCCCTCTAGCTACCACAATTTTACATCACCTTTCAAGTAGATAGGGGAAAAAATTTAGCATGCTATTATGGCAGCAGACAGAATCAAGGTGGCTATACTACGGCCCAAAATGAGTTTTTCACAGTAGCCATCAACAACAAACGCAGTTTAGTAATTCCCAAGAAGTAAGGATTTACTGTGCCTAATCATTTTCAGATTTCATGATGCATTTGCATGTGGGCTTTGGCCGTCATTCAGAATTAGCCATTTAGAAGAATCTTGTAACAGTAATAGACTTTTGAAATCAAGAACAGCTTCTCCTGAAAGGGAATTGTGTATCTAGACAGTTGAAACTAAAGTTGCTCTGAAGTTTATGCAGGCAACTTTAAACTTATCACTTAACTTTTCCCCGAATAGATTTAAAAACATTGTGAAATTAATGGGTCCAGAGGCTTCCTTAAGCATGCATTCTAGCTCCTCATCTTTTATGTTTGTTTTACCTAAATTAGAGGTAAAAGTCTTTCAGTGAACAAATACGGCATGAATCTTGGATTTGTCTGTTGCTTTGTATCTGATGTTTTCGGGGTGTGCGATGGGGGGTGGGGGTGCAATGACCGAGTGAGTACAGCTTTTTAGTCATTTAAAGCCTTCGGTTTCTTTTGCTTTGTAAGACACTACATTTTTCTGATGGAACTGAAAGCAAGTTTCATGCTGCAAATAGATGGCAATTTAGCTAGAATACAGAGGCGAAACCTCAGCTTTCCCTATCCCCTTACCTGTCCATAATTAGCACATCAAACCACAGCAGAGCTGGGATTTTTCTCTTCTCCATCGTGAACAGCTATGTCTTGTGAACAGCAAGTTCTTCTAGGCTCCCTTATAATAATGAAGGAAATACTTCTCCCTAATGTAATTGCCTATAATAGATCTTATAACTGACTTATGTCACAAAAGCACCCGTTTCTCCTCATGGACTAATTACTAGGTCAGATACAGTCATCTGCGTGTATTCAGTATCCCACCCAACTGCTGCCATTCCTAACCGCTACGTTTTTACAACGCAGAATAACTAGAATGAGACAATACAATGGATGAAAATCCAAAGTCGCTAGCTAAGACTGACCAAAATGTTTGAAGATAATCTTCTCCCTGCTAACTGCATTCTTTCAGGGCGGAGAGAGAGGAGTGTCCTTTTCTCCTGTCCTCCCTTTCAGTCAAGCACACTTAATGAGTGGATTAACCCCCCCCAGTTTCCTCTGGGGTTCTCAGGAAAGCCTTTCTTTTGACTACCTCTGAGGTTGGCTCCAATCTGATCCCTGCTGGCTACGTGTCCCTTGCTCTCCTCAGGGGCTCCCAACTGCCACAGCTATAACATTCCCTTGTTAACTGTTGCTTTTCCTTTTTTTTTTTTTTTTTGTCTTCCTCCTCCTAAATGTCCCACCTTTGCCTTGCGCAGTGCCCCTTCCCTCCCTGCTGCCCAATCTCAGAACCTTTTTAACAGAACACACAGTACAGTGAGGGAGATTCCAATGTTTAAATTGTTCTGTCATCTCTAACAAATGCAATAGCACATCTATATCCAGGAAGTCTTGACCCAATCTCAGCATACGTTGAATGGGGCTGCAACATGGCTTCTTAACACACAATTTAGAAGTGTGTGATACAAAGGGGGCTACAGACTTATTTTACTCTCCTTAGCAAGAAGACAGAAGGAGAGTGACAAGCTGCTGAAGGAGCGGTGACTGATCACCACCCGAGACATGTAAACCAAATATTGGAGAAAGTGCGGTGTGTGGATCTCACATGACACGTGCTGGTACGATACAAAGTTTTTATTTCCCACAGTTCCTTACTAGAAAAAGGCATAATCTATCCAGTAGAGGGAATCTGAAACTAAAGAAATAAAATCAGTTTTGGGGGGATTTTTTTTACATTAAAGTACTTTTAACATTGGATAACTTGGGGGTTATAAAACCTACACAACTATACAAATATACGGTTAGGTTTTAAGGGCATGAAAGTGTCATTATGAAGATATATGATCTGAAAACAAATACTGTAACACAATACACAGTTTTAGCAATCACAATAATTGTCATTCTCTACAAAAAGATGTCTTCCAGTATTCATTGTCAAGAAGGTTCTTAGGGTGGCTCTTTGAATCTGGGAGTCCAATTGGACTATCTGGACTATTGGAGTAATTTGCAGAACTGTGTTTTAGTTTCCAACCCTATTTACTTCTAAAGCTAGTATTTGAGTTTTTAGCTGTTTTGTCATTAATAACAGAACCAAAGATGTTTGGCTAATTACCCAAAAATTAATTTATCTGCCATTAGGTAGTCAATATAAATGTCTCAGAGGTAAATGCATGAACTGCTGGTTCTCCATAAAAGTATACATACCCAGAGAAGCATATGTGTCCTTCAAGTCTTCCTTGGCTATGAATCCATCCCTGTTATGATCAATTACCGTTAATGCCTAGATCACACATTGAATGAACACGGAGAGATTGGACTAGATTCTTGTTGACTGTAGCTTCATAAAAGCTGTACATTAGTCCCTGTTTTAGTAAGCGTTCAAATTAAGAAAAGATTTATTCCTCATTATTTCTCTTCCACTAAAATGGGCATTTATGACTTAAGAGAAAGGTTGAGCGAAAATATACATGCAGAGCCTTTACAGAAAATTGGCTAAGCTTCTAATAGCTTTATTTCTCTGTTTGCTGAAACATACTGGCACAGAAAAGAGTTTCTTCCAGGGACACACCTGACAAGTGAAGTGAAGGCAAGCACCATAGCTTGCACTGTGATGTGGGATCGCAAAATACCAGAAATAAAATACATTCTATCTCATTATTTTAATAGCTTTATCCGCATTCAAGTCTGAACTTGCAACGCTGGCCATTGGGAACTGTGCTGCGTGTTACACCGTAACACAACTGGGCTACACTATGTAAACTGCTCCTGAATTACATGGTTCCGCAACCCTAGGAGCTCATACTCTTACAGGTTCCATTCACATTAATGAGATCCCCTAACGGCATGTGGTTTGACAGATTACAATACAGGAATGAATCCAACCTGGAATAGCATCGATGTTTTCGTTTTTCTTTTCTCAACTGAAAAAGGGTATCAATAGATGGACTAATATAACACTTACTGTCCAGATTAGTAAAAGCAGGTGACAACACTTTACCTTGCTATCCAGATTCAGAGAGCTGCAGCAGGA